TTTTTTTTTTTTTTTTTTTTTTTTTTTTTTTTTTTTTTTTTTTTTTTTGCAAAAATAAATTTAATTTTGTAGCCATTAATTTTCCACTCTAGATACGAACGCGAGACGCTGCCACCGTTGCCCATAGCTTGTCCTCTCGCTCTCGCCCGCGCTAAGTCTATATAGACGGGGGCTAGCTAATTAAATAACTAAAAAGAGTTTTTATAATTGTTGGCTTATTTCATTGCCTTCTGCTTGGATGCTTTGCACAGCACACACACACACACACATACAGACCAGAAGCAGACAGCTGCTGTATGCACGCACGCTTATAACGGTTTATTAAAACGAAGCCGCAGCAAACAGGGCGGCAAGCAAGGGTGCGCGAGCAGTGCGGCATGAGACATGAGGGGAAGACATTTTAAAGCTTTACTTCAAGTTCAATATTTTTTGCACATGATAGTATTTATGCATGTATAAGTAAATAAAGCTGCGTTTGTCTGTCTGCTGTATGTGAATGTGTGTTTGTATATATACATACATATATAATAAATTAACGTCTTTTTTTTATCGCTTTAATGATAAACCGTTTTGCTTGATTGGTCTAAAGCGCATAAATAACAAATAAACAAAGCGCAGTAAAGTATTATTATTATTATTATCATCATTGTTGTTGTTGGCTTTTTGATAAGAATGAGAGGTAGCTTGTGATATCTGATATCATATGCCAAAATATATGTACATATATATAGACATAAGTGTACACATACTCCCCCAAAGGTGTGCTTTGTGTGCCAGTCAGGTGGAGTGGACTTAATGAATTAACCTTGGGAATGTCTGATAAAAGAAATAAGTCAAAGAATTTCAGGGAAAAGCTTTTTATAGATAGTGTCAGACTTGTCTAAGCAAAAAGTACCTTACAGATACCTGTCTGAAAAAGTATAGATATTCACTTTCCGTTTATTATATATTATAGAAAATAATCAATTAACAAAATTCCTTTTAGTTTCCTTTTACAGACAATAAATTTTTAACTAAATGATTGAGGAATATTTGAAAGACATACTCAAACATCTTAGGGAGTCGAATTAAGAAATTTTTCACTAATTTTTCCAATTCGTTTTGAAAATATATTTATTAACAAGAATAATTTTAATGTTATGTTTATAGTTGTTTACGATAATAAAGATCATGCAATAACATTTTATAGACCTTTTAAAATATATATGTATATTCATATATCTGGCAAAAATGTTTTGTTTACCATTTCGCTATAAGCTCGTGCAATAATAAAGAACATTTTGTGGAAATCAGATAATCTTTGCGACTTATGAGAACATTTTGTGTTCCTATATTTAGCAATTGTGATACTTAAATGTGGAATTCAACAACAAAAAATTCCTTTTTGCTTTTCAAATACACTAAATAAAGATATAAATAAAGTGCTACATACATTCATCTTTTTGAGCAAAATTAAAAAAAAATAAAACTCTTTATATAGCAAAAAGTACATAGGATATCATCCTATAAAGCTAGAAAAACAAAATTCCATATCAAAGTAGTCAAAGCCTTAAACTTCACACAGAAACAAGCCTTTTAGAAGTTCGAGCTCTATTTTTGTCAGTGTTAATCAGTATTACAACACGATAGGAACACAAATATGACTGAAGTCTTACAGATTTTAAGAAAATTCATAAATCGCGTGAGTAAAAAAAAGAACAAAAAAAAAAAAATAAATAAATAAATAAATAAAAAATACTTATATTGGCTCATATATATCTATACAGATAATGTCATCTGAATCTTTCCAAACTAACCTGGAGCCGAAGATTCTTCGCAGTAATCGCGTAAGTATTTCAATGAAAAGCAATTAGTATATTATTAGTATCTTTGTTTATGCAGATCATGTCATCCTCGGAATCTTCCGAGTCTTCCAACGAACAGCAGAGACTTCGTCGCAGTAATCGGCTCAAGCAGACACTGAAGAGAAAACGTCGACTGACCGAGGAGCAACCGACTGATAAGAAGAAAATCAAACGAATGAGAACCCGATATAACTGGCAGATGTCTGAAGGTATATCCAACAGGCTGGAGGACCTGGAGTTGGAGTACCTGGAGAAACAGCAGGAGCTATGTAGGTTATTGGAGTCTGCATCAGAGGAGTTCTTAATGATGCAGCAGGAAAATGGAAATGGACAGGGATACCCCCTTTGTGTCTGCACAGAATTCAATGGGCAACTCTTCAAGCTGTACGATCTGCCCAAAGATGTGGAATCTCATATTCCAAAAAAGAGCAGACCAAGGTGTAAAAAAGGACGACGCGCAAATTAACAAAATAAAAACAAAAAGATAAACAAATTAAGAGAAATTAAAAAAAAATCAAAAAAGAAAGCCTTAAAAAAGGAATATAAAAAGAAACAAAAAATAATAATAATAGCTATGCCTTGCTTAAAAGTTGGAACTAAAAAAAAAATTAAAAATGAAAAAAAAAAAAAAAATTAAATAAAAATAAAATCCGGAAAAAAATCCAGGAAACATAGTAAAATGCGTGAGTATTTAAATCAAAAATAATTTATATAAATAATACTTATATTGGCTCTCTCCATACAGATCATTAAGTATGTTCCGATATATCGCGTTTTCGCATTAATCGTAAGTATTTAAATGAAAGATAAATAACATAATTAAATATTCACGTTTTGGCTACAGTTCTATGCAGATCATGTGCCGCCACTGTATTGTCCTAAGCTTGCTGCAGTTGTGAACACAATAGAAAAAATAATAAAAAAAAAAAAAACACCTTCGAAGAAAAGAACACTATTCGTATTTTGTATAATAGTGGGGTAAAGAATAAATCTGAGAAAACAAACAGCATTCTTAGTCTGTATTTCCAAATGCAGTTTCCCAATTCCTTATAGTTAAAAAATAAAATCCATATTGGCAAAAATCCAATAAGACGTCATCTTAGTTTATGGATCCTTTAATCGACATAAATCTCAATGGAACCCTATTGAGAGCTTATGTCTGGTCAAGGCGTTGCACTGTTCTGTGTTATTGCGATAAAGAGGGTGTAAACAGTTCATAAATCAACTATTTTTTCCTTGTATTCGAATGCGAATGCGAGGTTCGAATTCATATCTGGCGCTCTCGTCTAGTTCCATAGAAATTCGTTTGCTGTTGTATAACCCGTGACATCAGCTGCATGATAGAAGTGCACAAATTTAATTTGTTTACATCATGTAGAAATGTGTAGATACCCTGTATGGTCTGGCACCGACAGGGTTTAATAGGCCTTACGGCTGGTATTAAAAGCAAGCAAGTATTTTAATGTATGTATATTTCGTAATATACTCTGGAATCAGTGAGAGAAGGAGTGTGCTTGAATTTTAAAATTCGTTTGATTAGGCATATATAGAAACTCAAGTAGGCTTCTATTTGTGATCCCATTTGGGCATAGGTGTGATGTAATGCCATTTTCTTAATTTACAGGGTATCTTGCGGACAATTTTCACACCATTTCTAGCATTTTTACGATTTGCCTAGCCCATAAACTGTTTAGTATTTATACTTATACCGCTCTGTACTTGCAATTCCCTTACAGGGTATTTTATGAGGCATTCTGGTTTATCTGTAGTATTTCTGTTTGTTATTACTAAATGTGTTATCAAGCCGAACGATAAGCAGCGAGCGACAAACACATTTTATGGCTGCGTCAAGAACCAACTTAGCCAAAGGCCCCAAACAGACTTGTGCTAGGCGAGAGGAGAGGGGGGAGCAGAGGCAGACGAAATAGAAGGGGCTCCTATTTTAGATAATGTCAAGTGGGCATTATTATTATTATTATTATTTTTATGATTTTTACGATTTCCTTTGCAGTTCGCCAGGCTTTAGGTAAGAGTGGAAGCCCGAGGTATATAAAGTCTAGTTCTTTACGGCCTTAATAGCTTCGCCTTCAGCTGAAACGGGTTAACTTGGCCAAGTCGACAGTCAACGCTTACGGATGCACATCAAAGCAGAAGAGAGAGGCTGCGGCGACGTGTAGGCGTAGGGCGTGGGCTGTAGGCATGACCAGCAGCCGCAAATTAATCCGCTGCGCGCAATAATTTTTCGATTTAATTTTCGGTTCTCTTTTTTTTTTTTTTTCGTTTTCTTTGTTAAAGCGGCTCAAGAAAATCTTCAGGCATGTCAAATTGAGTTCCATTCAAAGGGGGAGAAAAAAAAATGCAAAACAAGACGCGAACAAGCTGCAGCAGAGCGCTGATCTATATAAAAAAGGAACGACTAGCAGTTATGCTGTATTTGTTATGAAGTTTTCTTATATTATATTACAGTATATTATAAATTAGTTCAGATTTTTCTAGTTTAAATGTGTTTCATTTGTTTCATGATTGTAGTTCATTTAAGAGTTCATTCTGTTAAATAGTCAAAAATAGAATCAGTTAGCAATATACATAAATCATCTAGAAATCAAATGCTCTATTAACAGTTGGCTGTAATAATATTTATTTTATACATATTTTTCATAAAGTCGTTCGAAAATTAAAAAAAAAATACATTGATTAAAAAGAAACATAGATTATGTAAACATTTTTTAAAGTTTCTCTTTGAGTTAAGAACTCTTTCTGCACTACGATATATCATATGTATATGGAAAGGCTTTCAAACCAGCTCATCTTAGCATATTTGCTGAAAATGTATTTAAGTATATTTAAACATTGTTCAAAATATGCTTTTAAGGAAACGAAAAGAACAGTATATATCGACACTAGTATAAATATACATACATATATCTTTTCTATACAATCAACAATCTGAGCACAGTTCCTACATACCACGTGAAGGCCCTTAACAAGGGGTATGCAAACGAAAAAAAAAGGAAAAGAACGCAATGCGGCTGTCAAAAGATCTTAACGATGAAATAAGAAGAAGCAGCACAAAAAAGCTGAAACCAAAATAATAAAAAAACAAAAACGAAACGAAACGAAACGATCCTGGCAAGGCGAAGACTTACAAAAACGCGCAGAAGGGCTGTCAAGTTTGCGCGCTGCCAAGTTCGCAGTTTGCAGTCTCTAGAGCCGAAACAAACACAGATACACACACACACACATACACACAGGTACATACACACACACATGCAGAGAGCAGCAGAGGTTAGTGCTGTGGGCAAGTGAGAAAACCAAGCGCGACACCAACACCAAAAACCGGCTACAACTGCCGCTCGGGCGTCTCTTTTTGACGGCCCGCGGCCTGTGGCAAGGGAATTGAATTGAATTTCCAGTCGACGGACGTACAAAATTTGTGCCTTTGCCTTTTCGAAGGTGTGAAGAAAAAATAAAATACAAAGCACAGCCAGTCAGACAAGCAACAACAACAGCAACCAACAACAATGAGAGACGACGGGGCACACAGCACGAAATTCTGAAAAACTTCAACTGCAGATCCCGAGATCCCGAATCAGAGAGCACAGACCACAGCATAAAGCAGAATAAGAGGAAGAAGAAGAAGACGAAGCAGAACTAAAGCAACAACAACAGAACAAAAACATATATATATACATATATATAATAATACGAAACTGAAAACTGGATTGTTGCCTCTCGTTTTCCAGTGTGTGGCATGAGGCATGGGGCAGACTCTTTGGGATTTCACAGAGGGTTTCAGCATTGTTGTTGTTGCTGTTGTTTGTGCTATGATCTCTCTTCGTTTTTAGAAGCATCTGTTTCTTTCGGGTTTTTTTTTTGTTTTTGTGCTCGGCATTGTTGTTGTTGTTGCTTTTTGCCACTTCGAGTCGGACAGCAGAGAGCTGAAGGTGAAAAGTACTTATAATAAGGAAGCCTGACGGCCAAATGGGCGCATTAAGATTAAGGCAACTCAAAACGTTTTCTCAACTGTCCTACACACACACACACACACACATACCCAGAGACACTCGCACACATATGGGTGTTCTGACTTTTGCCATGACAATCCCAAAAATGTAACACAAAAGCTATACAATCTTCTGAAGAGCCTTTAGAATATGTTGTTCATCTCTTTTTTTTTTCTTTGGGATTTCGGTTCGTATTGTTCCCGAAGCATAGCAAATGCTCAAATAAAAAAACTCATCTGTGATCTTTTCAAGTAGAACCAAATTGGAACAAAGCGCAGCATTGATTTTGCTCTTCTTCTTCATTAATTGAATGTTACGGCTTTTGAGTTAAGATTAAAGACAGACTTTGGGCAACTTGATTCTGTTGTGCCAAAGGTAAATGATAAATGAGAAATTCTATTTGTATGTTTCACTCAATGAATGAATTTCTATTCTATTTTTGTTCGGTCTTTTATGCTATTTGAGCCATATACTACTTTCAGGGTGTTCTATGCACCTTGTCTAGCTCTATTGTTGTATTTTATTATACATTTATTATATTGCACATAAGTGTAGCATATTTTGGTATTCTAATGTAGATGTGATTTATATAAAAGTTTAATGGATACTTTCTGTCATTCATTTTCATAATTTCTCTTGATAACAGCGCACTTTTAGAATCAATATATCTTATCTATTAATGGCGCTCTAAATTGCTCTTATATTCTCATGATATAAGGAATTACATTCAAAAGATTTTCTCTATAAATTGAAGAAAATCTAGATGGTATTAAAAATATATTTATACGTATTTAATTTAAGGTATCACAAAACAATGTAATACATATACTATTTCAGTAGGCTTGCATTTTGGTTTCGTAAAATTCTATTAAAGTTTAAAACAAATATAGGTTTCTGCCATGGAGCTATAAGGTAAAACCAAACCTCTTTTGTTGTAAATTTGTGCATGACTTAAACGTTTTTCAGGTACCTTTCTTTCAATTACTCTTTTGTAGTTAAAAGTCATCTAAAAGCCCGTTTTTTATTTTGGTATTTTCTACACGATTCTCATACTCTTCTTCTTTACACACACTATACAATGAATACTTTTATATGTAGTTGTATTTAAGGAAATCTATTTACTAATGGCGATTCACTAGACTGAGAAATATACCATATTATAGTCTTATATATAGTATTTGGTATATTATTAGATTTCTTTTAAATTGGCTTTTATGAGAACTAACTTTTTGGGCATTTGCTTTAGCGCTTGCATTACCTTTTTTCATTATAATAGAGCGAGTTGTAAATAATTTAAATATATTTTTATTTTGTTGTTGTTCGAAACATGTTTTGTATATCAATAGATCTGTTTAACCCTATGCGGCTGAAGAAGTCGAAGCAGAAGAAGCAGAAGCAGGGACCAGCAGACGTGCACGTAGCAAACACACACACAGACACACACACACATGTGGCACATAGAGAGAT